TTCATATCTCCCACTCATGTAATAGTAATAAACTCCACTTCCACTACACTTCCCTTTATGAAACTCCCCCTCAAACACATCTCCGTTACTGTATGCCTGCACATAACAACCTGAAGTATTTACCTTTTTATCAATTCTTGGCCTTCACCCTATTGACCAAAACACTGGTAAAGCATTCTTGGACACTTGTTTTGATGAAAAAACCTTAATTGGAGGCAAAGACTTAGCCAAGAATAAACGAATTGAGGGGAATTTTGGAAGTGCTAAATTCAGTGTAAACAAAAGGGCTGCTGAAAAAGCAAAAGCAGAAAGAAAATCCAAAAAGAAAGAATATTCTGGACGTGAAACCAAGAAATAGAAGAAGGGAAGAGAAAGGAGGAGTATGAGCCGAATATGGCAGGGGTAGAAATGGAAATTGCTCAAGTTTCTACATGGGTGTTGACCCTTTACAGAGGAAAATTGATATTTGTGAAGAGAATTGGATAAAGTTGGAGTCTTTATGAGAGATTTTGAAGGGTTGTTTGATGAAACACCCAAAAGGGGTCTTTTATGTGGGGTGGTAGGGGAAATTGCGTCATTATTGTCATTATCAATGAATATTTGAATAGCAGTATGATCCTGATATCCAGGTGAAGAAGAAGGTGACACAGAAGATGAGAAAATCAAATGTTGGGGACCAGAGTTGAAATTATGGGAATTTGAAGGGTGTTTCTGATGAAGAGAAGATGAAGAAGAAACAAGGGGCGCTGTAGGATTGCAATCGGAAGAGATGCAGCAAATGCTTTCTTTTCCAGTTTGCAATTCAGATTTCTTCTGATGCATTACCTATAAATAACACCAATCAAAGAAAAGAAAAAGAGGAGAAGAATCTTCCTTATCTACAAACTTTACTCTCCAAATTCACCAAAAATTCTTCCTTTTCTCGTTTGAAATTATGTTTCCAAAAATGGGTTGGTTCTTTCTTGAAAAAAAAATTTCTCCCTAAAGGCTAAAGGTAATATTCTTCTACACAAAAAAAAAAAAAAAAAAAAAAAAAAAAAAACGGAAAAGGTCATATTTATTCCTGTACTCTTTAAAAATGGTTATATTTGTCCTTCGTTATACTTTTTTGATATATTTATCCTTACCATTATACTTTAGGATCATATTTATCCATGTACTCTTCAAAGAGGGTTACATTTGTCCTTCGTCATACTTTTTGACATATTTATCCTTACACTTATACTTTAGGATCATATTTGCCCCTCATCCATTAAATCCCATGTCCCACCTTTGTTTTCCTACCTATATGGATTTCTTTTTCCTCCAATTTAAATATGGTCAACTATTTAAGATAATTTAATNATATGGTCACCTATTTAAGATAATGTTCTTTTTCAGCTCCATATTTTTCGGATAGCAGCGGCAACATATTGGCAAACAAGAACTTTGAACTCAAAATCACTAATCTGATACAACTTACAATTATTGCAGTAACCAAATTAAATTACGAGAAGTTGCACAACAATGAAATTAATGACAAAGGTCCGTGCTTAAAATAGAGCATTGCTAGAAGCCTAATATTGTCTAGGATGGTTTCCTCAAACATATTTTTTCTCGAAAAGAAAATATTGCTCCCTCCTCTCATTTTATATGAAAGAATTCGATTACAAGGGTCAAAACATCTAGTTTTTTTTGTGATTTGGGTATATAATTTTCATGTTTTCAAAAATAAAATAAAATTACATATTTTAAAAAGTATATCTAAATAATTCAACTTTTTGGATGGCAGAGTCATGATTTAAAGTTTATGGGTTCTGATCTTGCTCATAGCTCATTTTAGTTATTAAGTTCATAATTAAATATTTATACATATTTAATGTATTTTCTAATAGAACACAAATCTAAACAAAAGCTATAGAGTTCATTCAAACCATACCTAATACTCTAGCTCCACCCCTTATCTTCGACCTGGTTTAACATAAACCTACAATGACGAATAATATTAGAGTAATGTGAATTATCAGAATGAAGCCACTATATTTTATATATTGGCTGCCCAAAGACACAAATAAGTGCAGACAACCAAATTATGGTTTATGGTTTATGGTTAAATTAAATTATCTTAAATAGTTGACCATATTTAAATTGGAGGAAAAAGAAATCCACATAGGCACCATGTAGGAAAACAAAGGTGGGACATGGGGATTTAATGGATGAGGGGCAAATATGATCCTAAAGTATAAGTGTAAGGATAAATATGTCAAAAAGTATGATGAAGGACAAATGTAATCCTCTTTGAAGAGTACAGGGATAAATATGATCCTAAAGTATAATGGTAAGGATAAATATATCAAAAAAGTATAACGAAGGACAAATATAACCATTTTTAAAGAGTACAGGGATAAATATGACCCTTTCCAAAAAAAAAATAGAATTGTGTTTATAGATATATGTTGGAAGTGAAATTATGAGCCCGTTTGGCTTAGCTGATTTAGAGTAGCTGATAAGCATTACGTGCTGAAAAGCACTTTTAAGTGCTGAAACCGATTTAAAAAATAAGCAGTTACGTATTTGGATAAAAGTGCTGAAATTAATAATATGCAGTTGAAGAACTGGGTATACGAAAAGTTTTGTTTTAAAAAGAAGTATTTTAGGGATAAAATAGTAAATATTTTGGTCAAACTTAAAGTGCTTATAAGCTAAAATTTGATAAGTTAGGGTAGACCAACTTATGGCTTTTGGCTTATTTTTGGCTTATAAGCACTTAACTTATAAGCACTTTTAATTTTACAAAATGCGTAGATAAGCCAAAAAGTGCTTATAAGCCAGTTTGACCAGCTTATAAGCTTAGCCAAACACCCTCTATGTGTGTTTTGGAAAAGAAATAAGAGATAGTAATGGGAGGAAAAAGTTTTTTGAGTTTAAAAAGGTAAGGGGTACTGGGGTGGGGTAGAGCGGGGGTGGGGTGAAAGAGATTTCTCAATTCTGCGCGTGGAGAAAAACCAGTTTAAAACTAGAGGCGTACGAGTTCTTGTGACAAAAGCTTATCAAGAGGTTAAGTCTAGAAACTAATACTACAACAACAACAACAACAACTACCCAGTAAAATCCCACAAAATGGGGTCTGGGGAGGGTAATGTGTACGCAGACCTTACCCCTACCCTGATAGGGCAGAGAGGCTGTTTCCGAGAGACCCTCGGCTCAGAAAAAAGAAAAAGAGAAGGAGACAATTCATTAGTAACTACAGTAGAAACCATAATAGTAATAGAAGCATAACAACCAAAAGATAAATAACATGCAATAACAGTAACCAATAACTAAGGCCCAGGGCTAAGATAAACAGCAAGGATGGTGTGGATTCAACATAAACTGCAAGCTATTTAAGATCAGCCCTAATCCAACCCCGCCTCACCCCCGGTATGAAGTACGCAAAGCTCTACTACCCCCTAACCTACAACCCTAATGCTTGACGTCCAAACCTTCATATCAAGGGCCATGTCCTCAGAAATCTGCAGTCATACCATGTCTTGCCTGATCACCTCTCCCCAATACTTCTTAGGCCTCACTCTACCTCTTCTCGTACCCACCACAACTAACCGCTCACACCTGCTTACCGGAGCATCAAGGCTTCTCCTCCGCACATGCTCGAACCATCTGAGCCTCGCTTCCCGCATCTTGTCATCCATACCCACCTTCTTCTGAATATCCTCATTCCTAATCTTGTCTATCCTAGTGTACCCGCACATCCACCTCAACATCCTCATCTCTGCTACCCTCATCCTCTCGATATGGGAGTTCTTAACCGGCTAACACTCTGCCTCATACAACATGGCCGGTCTAACCACAGCTCTATAAAACTTACCTTTGAGTAACGGTGGTACTTTCTTGTCACATAAGACTCCCGATGCAAGCCTCCATTTCATCCAGCCCGCCCCTATACGGTTAGTGACGTCCTCGTCGATCTCTCCGTCCCCCTGGATTATCGACCCAAGATACTTGAAGCTATCTCTCTTGGGGATGACCTGTGATCCAAGCCTCACGTCCCTGCCTACTTCCCTTGACTCAGCGCTAAACTTGCACTCCAGGTACTCTGTCTTAGACCTGCTCAATTTGAAACCCTTAGACTCGAGGGTCTGTCTCCAAACCTCCAATCTCTCATCAACACCGACCCTCGTCTCATCAATTAGAACTATGTCATCAGCAAATAACATACACCATGACACACCCCCTTGAATATGGTGTGTCAATGCATCCATCACCAAGGCAAATAAGAACGGGCTAAGTGCAAAGCCTTGGTGTAATCCCATAACAACCAGAAAATGCTCCGAGTCGCCTCCCACAATCCTAACATTAGTCTTAGCTTTATCATACATGTCCTTGATTGCTCTTATGTAGGCTACCGGCATACCCTTTGCCTCAAGACATCTCCAAAGCACCTCCCTGGGACCTTGTCATACGTTTTCTCCAAGTCAATAAACACCATGTGCAGATCCTTCTTCCTATCCCTGTACTGCTCCACCAACCTTCTAATAAGGTGGATAGCTTTCGTAGTGGAGCGACTCGGCATGAACCCAAACTGAATATCGGATATAGACGTCGTCTTCCTCACACTCACCTCCACCACCCTCTCCCAGACTTTCATGGTATGGCTAAGTAACTTGATACCCCTATAATTGTTACGGCACTGGATATCACCTTTGTTCTTGTACAACGGTACCATTGTGCTTGACCTCCACTCCTCCGGCATCCTCTTCGTCCTAAAAATTACATTGAACAACCTAGTCAACCACTCTAATCCTGCTCTACCCACACATTTCCAAAACTCAACCGGTATTTCATCTGGCCCGGTCGCTCTACTCCTACTCATCTTGCGCAAAGCCCCCACGACCTTCTCCACCTTAATGCGCCTGCAATACCTAAAATCTCGGAGTCTCTCCGAATTCCCCAAGTCCCCTAGCGCTATATCCCGGTCCCCCTCCTCGTTCAAAAATCCATAGAAGTACGTCTGCCATCTCTGCTTAATCTGGGACTCTCCCATCAACATCCTTGTCTTTGATGCACCTTACTTGGTCCAGATCCCGGGACTTCCTCTCCCTCGCTTTAGCTAGCCGAAACAACTTCCTGTTCCCGACTTTCTCCCCCAATTCCTCGTATAGGCGGCCAAACGCTGCATTCTTAGCCTTCGTGACCGCCATCTTTGCCTCCTTCCTTGCCACCTTGTACCTCTCCATATTCGCTCTTCTTTCCTCCTCGCTTGTGCTCCCTGCCAACTTCGCATATGTTACCTTCTTCGCCTCCACTTTACCTTGGACTACGTCATTCCACCACCAGTCGCCTTGGTGCCTGCCGGAAAAACCCTTCGATATCCTTAAATGTACATTCTTTAGTTTTGTCCATGAATCATGATGGCTCATTCTTATTGCTCAAAGTGTCATTACAATTTTTTTTCTTTTCTTTAATCTGAAATTTATTGGCCTAAGTAATTTGGTTTGTATCTTATAAATAGTCTATAAATGAGAAAACACTCTCATTCCCTAGCTTGAATTCGAGGCTCTAATTAACACATCACTCTGTTACGCCCAAATCCCACTAAGGTTATGATGATACCTAACATCGTCGGTTAGGTGATTCAACACAAAAAGTACACAAGAGCAAGATAACTCATAACCAAGCCTCACAGACAAATCATAAAATAAGTCGATACATTAGGCTAAATATAGAATATATAGTCAACCCTGAAACTGGTAATATGAGTCATCGACTAAGACGGAATAATACATCTGCATTCAAGTATGGCAGCTCATCACGAATTATGTCCTGCTAGTATCAGGAAAAAAATCTGTACAAAAATATGCAGGCGTGTAGTATGAATACGAAATTAACATGTATCCAGTAAGCACCTAGCTGACCTCAAAACATATAACGATATGCTTAGATAGAGCAAATGAAACGATGCGCTCTATCACGACTACGCAAATCCCATGCATGTATCAATGCATCGCTAACAACATTGTCGCGACTCAAACTCTCACCGGAGCCATAATGGTGCCTAACATTGCTTGCTAGGCAAGCCAACAATTTCACAATAATAATACACTCAAATACCATAAGTTAATAATCCCAACAACGGTAATATTATAAAATATCTAAAGATAGAAACAATAACACAACTACAACCATTCCAATGATCTGATGTCAACGAATACATGAGCACTACATAATCTCAAAATACAGAGTCATTCCTCAATAAAAACTTTCTAAATGGTAGAACAACGATAACAAAGACACACAAAAGAGAACTTCAAGGTCTGCGAACGACATATCAGCTATCTCATAGTTTCCACAAGCTGGTACCGATGCGAGCTCTAGAAATTACCATGTTCAGAAGTACCTGGATTTGCACATAAAGTACAAAGTGCAGTATGAGTACAATCGACCCCATGTACTCAATAAATAACAAACCTAACCTCGGGTTGAAAGCAATGTCGGAAGGAATTTAGTGCCCAACACAAATAATCAATAATAACACATGATATAATGATGACAGTAAAAGTAAATAACTCAACATATATCATGTTCAGCTCGTCCACAAATACAGAAAATTAGACATGTTTTTCAAGTATAACAGTCAAAGCCCAATCTTTCACCAAATTTACTAAAATATGAGTTTATCAAGAAAACAATATTTTTCCAAACTTTCAACAGCAGATAAGACATTTTATTTATCATCTAGCATGAGAAAAAATATATCTCTATGCACACATGTCAAATATACATGTCAAGTCAATAACATTACAGTGAAACCATCACGTATACTCTTACTGAGAACACTTACGGTGCTTGGCACAAATGCCCCTCACCATCACACACAACCATACTCAACAATGTACGGGTGCCTAGCACAAATTCCCCTCATAAAATACATATACAACCCTATGCCTGCGCTCACTGTAATATCAGACTCCGAAGGGGCGGATCCTTGCCCAAGTGCTAATCAATAATCAATATAACCGTTGTAGTGTGCAATCCGATCCAAATATCAATTTGTTGCGGCGTACAACTCGATCTACTATAAATCACAATACGGCTCTATGACACATATCAGTCATCAACTGCTCAAGTTTCAATGGCTCACATCTCACAGAACTCAGCCCAAACAGTATCACACACAGAAGGAAACAACATCATGTGATAGGACATACAAATAATGTACAAAGACTGAGACATAACATGCAGACGAAGAATTATGACTGAGAATAGGACTGCAATTAAGGCAAACAACTCAAAACAACAAGAATAGCCCTATCATATCTCAAACAAATAAGTACATAGCCTAGACATGATTTCTAAGACGAATCATAGCTCAAATGATCATACAAGTAGATAAAATACTGATATAATGAGGCTTGAAACCAAATAAGTCTTATAGTAGCCTAAAGTCTACCCGGATCATAAATACCCCGGTGTACGCAGACATGCCCGTCACCTAGCACGTGCTCACCCCCAACATATCCCAAGTATCATAGCCTACATGGATAATTACCCTCAATCCAAGTTTAGATATGTTACTTACCTCAAAACGCATGAAGCAATACTCTAAAAGCCCTTCCTACGCGAATGGCCTCCGAGCAACTCAAATCTAGTCAAAACAACTTAATATCATCAATAGAAACCATAGGAAACAACCTCAAACAATAAATCTAAGATCTTGGTTCAAATATGCAAAGTCAACCCCGGGCCCCCACCCCGGAACCCGTCAATACTCACAAATCCCGAACACCCATTCCGATATGAATCCAAATATATGTGTTTCATCCAAATCCAACCTCACATCGACTCTCAAATCATCAATTTCACTTTCCAAAATCATAGTAAAAAATTCCCAAATTTCACCTTTAATTCATATAAAATAGGTGTAATAATCCATGGGTAATCAATATCTAACATAAAAATTAAGTAAACATCACTCACCTCTTCAATTACAGTGAAAAGCCTCCCAAAAATCGTCTCTAGACGAGCTCTACAACTCTAAATAATAAAAAATGACCAATCCTTCGAAATCACATAGGCTGCCTAGTGATTCCGCATTTGTGGTCCAATTACTACATCTGTGGTTCCATATTTGCCGTCAAAATCTTGTATCCGTGAGTTCACTTAAAAAGCTGACATGCCGCTTCTGCGGACACCAAGCCGCATACACAACTCCACTTTTGCGGACAAATTCCACATCTGCGGAACTCCCCCTTGCCAAGACAAGATCATACCTGCACATCCCATGCCGCTTCTGTGGCTAAATGTCCGCATATACGAAAACACCAGAACTCAAAAATCTCAGCAAGCCAGCTCAATCCAAATGATTCGAAACACACTCGAGGTCCCCGAGACCTCGTCCAATCACACCAACCAATCCCAAAATATAACATTGACCTACTTGAGGCCTCAAATCACACAAAACAACATCAAAACTACGAATCACCCTCAATTCAAGCCTAAGGAACTAATAAACTTCTAACTTCCAAAACTCATGCCGAAACACATCAAATCAACTCGGAATGACCTCAAATTTTCCACACAGCTTCCAAATGACACAAGGGACGTGTCCAAATTCCCAGAACCATAATCCGAACCCGATGTCATCAAAGTCAACTCCTGGTCAAACCTATGAACCTTCCAAACCTTTAACTTGCTGTCACGCCCCAAACTCAGGGATCACGACCGGCGCTCAACCGAGTGAACCTGGCCGAGCAATCCTGTTAGATTTTCTTCTGCCCAAACTCCTCCATCAATAAAGAGGAGATGTACTCCATTAATCAAACACTAATAAGATTTCATTAGCAACATCCATTTCATGTCCATTAACAACTTCACTCATAATTTTCAGAATATTACAAGTTTATAAATATAATGAAAAATATGTTTGCCAAATACCAATATTTCTAGTTTTGACTCCCATCATCAACCACCACCCACAATCTATCTGCAGAGCCTCTAAGTACAACTGAAGAGTAATATGGAGATGCCAACAACAAGGCCCCGACTATACCTCAAAACACAGTACATGAGAAACAAAAGATACATGACCCCAAAATGACGTGGGGCTCACCAAGTCAGCTGAAGAGAGTGTACCACTATCACTGATCAATGCCGTCTGATGTGGAATCACATGCATCCATTAAAGATGCAGCCGCGCCAGCAAAAGGGACGTTAATATCGTTGAATAGCACTAGCATGTATAGCTTAAAGTCCTCTTTTAAAATAGAATGACCATATAAGAAAAAGGAAAGCCATAGAAACAACAAATCATCATCAACAATATCTAAATGCCCAATTTGAAACATAACAATTTCAAAATACGAAAATTCTATATATTTTTGGTTGGGAGATCATTAGCACCGATATACCACCATCTTTGTTAGCGTAGAGTCCGATCACGCCCGATCAGCTAGGTCATCTTCCCACGAACAATGTGGTTTGACATGGATGCGAAAGAAAATTGTTACCTACCAAGAGTAGTACCATCATGTGCACAACATGGCGTCCGATCTCCACCCGATCAGCTAGGCTGTCTTCCCACATATGCCGTGTGGGTCGACTTTTCCAATTCACAGCTATTACCAGTGCCATCCCAATTAAGGGGAATAATCACAATTTCACCAATATTTCAAGTGCATCCCAAATAAGGGGAATAATCACAATCCACCTCTACACAGGCACATGTAGTTTCAGGTGTGGGCCTTATGACCCACCCTTCCTTGGTTTTGCCACAAAGGTAACATTAATACAATTGTACTAACCTCAACACCTTTCACATTGTATAAATTCTCATTAGTATTTCCAGTTATTCACAACAACAATATTTCCTTGGCTCATTTGGCCATTCACAAGATTCTTTATTCCTAGCACGATGGCCGTATTTCATATTCTACACTTTCACCTCTTTTATTTTCAAGGATCACCACCAAATACCAACATATAGAATATTTCAGAAATCATATACCTCAAGTTTATTAGTAATGGAAACTTTAAACACAAAAGGTTTCTTCCCAAAGAAGGGAACATACCAACCAACAATAGAAATACACCTCAAAGTCACAAATAAGCAATACACTAATTATTCTTGAAATACTCTTTTCCAACAACGACAATGTACAATTTCAACACCGGAGTATGTAAGAACTCGAATCATACTTGGTGTATTTATAAGGAAAGGCATTAGTTAAAAACAGCCACTTATGGGCATGAATTGAGTACAAAAGTTTTTAGGCAATTCTATTTTCGAAGTCATTTTAAAACAGTTGAGTCGAGGCTCATTTCATAATCTTTCTCATTTTATTGGTATCACTAGCCACAATTATAACTTAAATTCTTGGCACGTTGGTCACACTTTATTTTCCCAATTCACTTATTTCATTTTCAAGCATCTTTATAGATTATCAACAACAAGACATTTTCAATCATGACTTTAGGTACACATATGAGCAATTATGAGTCTTAAGCATATCGAGTTTTTCTCACCCAATTGGTATACTAGTTTTCATTTAAAACACGACTCAAAGTCATACCATTTTACTATGCAAACCACACTTTGAACATCTATCTTCCGACATAAGGCTCATTCAGAATAATCAAGTTTATAGGGGATAACCCAGAATATAGAAATTAGGAATCTTGAGCAACCCACTTACGGAACATTATGGAATTCGATTCTAAGAAAGAAAGTTTAGCCAACATACCTGTTTGAGTTTTCCTTAAGTTACTACAGTGCCCCGACACTTCTAGCAATTAACAATGAAAAGGGAAATGCGAGAGTGAGTTTCCTTTCATTGTTTGGATTGAGGAATGTGAATTGAAGAATTTGAAAATTTAGTCTTAAACAATTTACATCAATGAGAAATATAGCTTACCATATGATAAACTTATTTTCAACATTTTACGTAAAGAGAGCAAGAAACATGCATAGCGTATTGAAGAGTGACATGGAGTAGAGACCCAAAAGTTCGACAGATTGAAGAGTGAGCGTAGAATATAGAAGAGAAAGCAGATATCTCAACAAGCTAAAAAGTAGGTCTGGAGCAAAGTGAGTAAGAAGTTCAGAGTAGCTTGACGAATTTATGAGTTATAGAGAAAATTAAGCCCGTGAGCATGTTAAAATAGATAGAGAAAAACAATTGTGAAAATAGATTTGCTTAAGTTTGACTTTAATATCTTGTGCAAAATATGAGCATCATCCAAAGTTTAATGCAATTACTGATATAGTTAGAGACATTATAAACATGTGTGGAAATAGATATCTAACAGGAGCCTCAAAGGCACTACACTTTCTTCGTTCTCTCTCGCGAATTAACCAATACAATTTATTGAAAGATGCTCTAGGAGATAAATAAATACATAAATCTAAAATACGACTTTTTCGAAAAGATTTTTCACGTGGACGAAAAGCTGGATTATCCATTTTACTTTTTCAAAGGTAACTAGTTTTTCTTCTCTTTAAAGTCTCGAGATATAGCTGATTAAGTATTGATTTTTCTAATAGGAAAGGATTAGGGACCTACATTAGTAACTTCTCCGCCCTGATCACGCATCTGTCTAACTATAATTAATGACATTAAAGGTGAAATAGGCGGCGTAATTTTCATATCTTTAAAACAATAACAATAAAACCAGTACATTTTTACAGGTAGAGTTTGGAGAGGATAGTGTGTACGCAGACCTTACCCCCACATAGTAAAGGTAGAGATACTGTTCCAATAGACCCTCGGCTCAGAAAAGATAAGAAGAAGAAAGAAAGAAAGGAAAAATGAAAGAAAGATAGAAATAAAACGAAGAGAGAAGAAAAAGAGGGAGAAAAGAATAAGTACCAAATAGTAAAAACAAGGAAATACGATAACTGAAACGAACTAAACAACATGACGTAATATAGATCAAAGAATATGAAAGAACATGAGTGCTACTAATACTACTGGTAAAAAAGGAGAAACTTTCAACTACCTAATAACTTTCTATCCTAATCCTTGACTTCTACACCCTCCTATCAAGGGTCAAGTCCTCGGTAAGCTGAATCAACGCCATGTCCTGCCTAATCACCTCTCCCCAATACTTTTTTGGCCTATCTCGGCCTCTTTTCTAACCCGTCAAGGCCAACCTCTCACACCTCTTAACAGGAGTATCAATGTTTTCCCTCTTAACGTGCCCGGACCATCTCAGCCTCGACTCTCACATCTTATCCTCCATGGAGACCACTCTCACTTTGTCCCGAATAACTTCATTCCTAATATTATCTCTCCTGGTATATCCACTCAGCCATCTCAACATCCTCATTTCTACTACTTTCATCTTCTGCACATTAGAGTTCTTAATTGGCTAATACTCAGCCCCATACAACATAGTCGATCGAACCATAACTCTGCAAAATTTACCCTTAAGTCTTGTCGGCACATTCTTATCTCATGGAACACCGGATGTGAGCCCCCATTACATCCATCTCGCTCCAATACGATGTGTGAAATCCTCACCAACCTCCTCGTTATCATGGATAATAGACCTGAGATACTTGAAACTACCTCTTTTGTGGATAACGTGAGTATCAAACTTCAAGTCCAGGTCTACTTCATGAGTCACGTGAATTTACACTCCAAGTATTTTATTTTGGTTTTGCTCAACCTGAAACCATTAGACTTCAAGGTCTGTCTCCAAACCTCCAACCTTGTGTTAACCTCACCTCCTGTCTCGTCGATCAACACTATATCATTGGCATGCAACATGGCACCTCCCTTTGGATGTGCCGCGCCAACAAGTCCATCGCCAAGGCAAATAAAAATGGCCTAAGAGTTTATCTCTGGTGCAGCCCCATCACGACTGAAAAGTGTTCCAAGTCACCTCCCACAGTCCTCACCCCAGTCTTAGCACCATCATACATATCCTTAATCACCCTAGTGTACGCTACTGGAATGCAGCTAATATCCAAACACCTCCACATAACCTCTCTCGGAACTTTATCGTATGCCTTTTCAAGGTCAATGAGCACCATATGCAAGTACTTATTCCTTTCCCTATACTGCTCTACTAATCTCCTCACTAGATGAATAACTTCTATAGTCGAACGTTCCGGCATGAAGCTGTACTGATTCTTAGAAATAGACATGTTCCTCCTCACCCTAACTTCCACCACCCTCTCCCACACCCTCTATAGTATGACTCAACAGTTTTATACCCATATAGTTGTTGCAAATTTGGATATCACCCTTTTTCTGGGACAACAGAACCATCGTACTCCATCTCCATTTCCCGAGCATCTTTTTCGTTTTAAAAATAACATTAAACAACCTTATAAGCCACTCTAAGCCAATTTATATCCTTACAATTATCACAAATTCCATGCCTCTCTTTTCTGTTCATTTACTCTATCGCATTTTGAAAAGGATGAAGAACCGCACGGATATTATTGGATGATTGAGATCCTCTCTACTCTTAACCAAATATTTTGAGTCCAAATTTAAAAAATGGGAAGTTTCTTAGTAGGGATCATTTTGCCTTCCTTAGTGAGCCTATTCAGTGTGAAGCCGAATTAATCAAAGCCAGTAAGTTTCAAATACCGGATGATTTTAAAGAAGGATGAAGAAACTCTTGTGCTCATGTTGAACGTTTATTTTGAATTGGAACAAATGAATCTAGACTTTCATGGACAGTAGTATTCCAAAAGTTGCAATTCCACCGCTAATATTCAAACGAAAATCCTGCCTTCATTTGGAAGGTTACAAAGCCTATAAGCTACCAAAGTTAGGAAAAGCATCTTCCACCTTTCAATACTTGACACGCAGGTAACGAAAGAAGCAAAGGCGGACGAAAAAAAAATTGAAGAGGAAACATTGAAAACTATATACTCCAGATGAAGTCACACTCCCTTAAAAGTTTTGACAACTTGTCGTGACTTGACTTCCTTTCCAATGGAGTAGGTCAAGAGTTGCCGCATTTCAATTTTTAAAAAAAATTATATATACTCTATTACTTATGTGAAAATCGAAGTCATACTTCTTTTTGTTACAAATACAAATACTCATAATGCTATTAGAGGATGAGGCGATGAGCTTTTCTGGTTGAATTGCCATAACTGTCTAGCCATTCAGGAAAATAATTTTACTTGTATGTATGTACTATTTCGGTATTTCCTCCTCCAGGCGAAAGTCGGATTGCCAACCACTTCTGTTTTAATTTTATTTTTTTTCTTTTAATTCTATTTCAGGAACGTGTATTTGGTCTAACTTCATAAAAATTGGCTTATAGTGTTAGAAAAACTACTTTTAGAAATGCCTTTCGGTCATTCTGTGTGCAAGTAAGGAGAAAGAAAACGAGCATTTTAGTAATGTTTTGTTACCAAATATTGAGACATCTATTTTTTCCTTTTTAACAATGAAAAATTAGGCCTGTACCTTCTTAACTACCATTATGCAGCAAGAAAACGGGATTAACAGATTGCCAGGATTACATGAGGAAGCACGTCAATAAAACTGGAAAAAAAATAAGATTACAATAGAGATTTGGGGGACAAATTTTAATTGAAAGATTGGCCACAGTTACTTTTACATCAATGAAAACAATTGTGGACATTAACTCTACATTACCCAATTCTACCATGACGAATTGTACAAATGACAGGTAAGAACCATTTCCTGGCAGAAACTACGCAATCTCATCAAATTTCACAGAGGGCCTTCAATGTCGTCCTGTGGAGTTTAAAACCGAATACCCTGGGAACATAATTCTGCGATTGCTCTTGCGGCTTGAGATGCCCATAAGTCATAAAAAAGAGGTGAGGAAATGTTGTCCCAATGTAAGCTCCGTCAATATCTTGGCCGGTTAAAGAAATCAGATCCAAGGATGAGTAATACTTTAGTCACAGTAAGGGAGGAAACACTAAAATGAACTGTGTGCAGAACTAATCTGGATGTTAATATGCATCCCATGTCCTAAGGCAATTCAAAATATGCAGAATCACAAAAGAAACTTCAAGCACAACCAATCCAAGCTAACAAAAAAAGAAAAGCATACATGAGAAGAGCAGTGTTGTTTGAAGGATCATTAGATACATGCTTAAAACCTGAAACTAGGGCGAAACAAGTTGTGTGATTTGCCTCACTTGAGAGGCGCCTTCAGTGCAGGCACTAAGGAGCCAAGACATGTGCATCATTACCCTTGGGCACTATCTTGATGACAGTGACCAAGCAATAAATATTTTACCTAAATTCTTTTGTGTATATGATTCGTTTGGGTTTATAGTTATTTAATTTTGAACTACAAATATGTTTACATCTTTCCCTTCAATTGTGTCTTTCTCCTTTAAGTCAGGCACTTAATTTGCTCTGCAGTTGGCTTAAAGCGCAAATAGATGCCAGTTTTTTTCGCCTTTTGCCTTTAATAGCACTTGCTAACGAGGAAGTGTTTTAGGGAAAAAGGCATAAAGTGATAACAGTGAAGGATACTGCCTTGGTATTTTGATCGTGGATAGTAGATATCTTCACATTTTGGACAATAAATTTTTACAGTACTTGAGCGTGGAATATCAGACTGACCAACTGGAAGACAAGGCTGTCCACTGCAATAAACTCGTGGGCAT